GACTGCCTATCCCCTACTCCAGAGAAACCTCAGATTCCCGTGTGGGGGAGGGGTGGGAGGACCAAAAATTTCAAGACCTGTTGTACTACTACTTCCGTTTGTATTAGTCCTACAAAACAAAAGAAGAAGGAAAAAAAAAAAAAACCGCTGTGGCAAATTATTTGAGAGGAAGGATGATCTATTAAGGGGTGATATTTACATGGAACTTTTGAGCCTAAGAAACAGGAAAAGAGGACGAGGAAGCTATAGAAACCCTGCAAGAGATGCTATGTAAGTCTGTAAAACAGAAACACCCTCACCCCACTACACAGAGCTGACAGAAGTAGGACTGAGATCTGGCCAGGAGTGGGGGAAGGTGGCCAGTCTTCCCTGGGTGTGGAACTTTGGCCCTGCTTATGAAGACCATTAGATTTGTTCCCTGAGGTACTAGGGAGGCCAGAGGGAGGGGAAGAGTCAAGTTATAGACCAAGGGAAACTCCCATCTCCCTGCTGCTTGGATGGAAAGTTTCCAGAAACTCTCCAAATTGGACTAATGGGGAGGAGGAGAAGGGAGGAGGGCCCATAAAGAACAGGGAAGTTAATTCTCCACTGGGCCACTGGAAAGAGTCCGTTGGAGTCCTACCACTTTCCCGGAACGTAAAGGCGTGGGAGGCTGGTGGGGCAGGTGGGTTGTGAGGGACTGAGGACCCAGAAGGAAGGCTTCTGGACTTCTCCACCAGGGTGCCTGTGCTCCCCACACAGGTGACAGTCCCCTGGAGCAGGGGATGGGGCTCCAGCTCTGACGCCCAGTGCCCAGTGTCTTTGGGTCTCTGTCCCCCTTCACCCTGCCAGAGTCTGCCTGGGTTCTCTGCCTCTGCTTGATGGCCTGCTTCTGCCTCAGTCTGTTGGGCGGCAGGGGCTCAGTAACAGTATCCTCTTCCAGTCACCCAACCGCATCTCTCCACACCGCAAGGCACCCAGAGTCAGTAGCCCCCAAGGCAGTCAGTCCCTCTGGGCGGCTCACTCCCTCTCCCGTCCTCTCCCCTCCCCTTTCCCAGGACTTAGACGCTACACCCTCGAAAGGCCGCCTTTCGGCCCTGCTTCGGAATCCCTGGCCCCTTCAGAGAACCTGAGTTCCTAGGTTGTCAGGTCGGGTACGCACTCGCAGGTGTGGAGGACACGTGCCTCCATGTCCGAAGACACCTCTAGGAAGGAACATTCCTAGAAACTTGAAGGGAGCCCAAGCCTGAGACTGGCCCCAGGGTGCCAAACTCTTATTGGGTCCTGAAGGCTCCATCCCCCAGAGGCCACTCTCTCCTCAGAGCTGGGGGACTTCCCTGGCCAGGCTTAGTAAAAATGTTGCCTCCACTCCCACACCCATTTATACTCCACTCACAGCAGGAGCCTCCTGGCCTCCCGGGCCTAGTTTTACCTCAGGCCAGTGCTGGGGACACCAGGAAAGATCTCAACAGCTAGAGGGAGAGGGAGGCATGAAACCATACTGGCCCCAGACCAGCTAAGACCCCTAGACTGTGGAGACTGGGACAGCTGCCCATTTAGGCCTGGTGGTGAAGAAAGAAAGAATGTTTGGGGACCCTCTGGGCTCCATCCTCTACCTTTAAAATGCTTCTGCCGGTTCAGGTCGCAGGCTCAGTAGTCTCAAACTCTCCTTCCCTGCCCCCCTCCCCAGCTGCCTGCCCTGCCTGGACTCTGGGCCACTGGCCAAGGCTGAACTGGCCCCTCCCCAGGACAAGGGCCCCAGAGGCCCTTTGCGCTTGCGCCTAGAGTTTACACAGTCCTACAAACACCAAACATCCCTGTGTCTGCCGCTGTCTTTTTCCCCAGTTGAGAAGGGAAAGGGGGTCAGGGAGACCTAGTGAAGCTCTAAAGAATCCAAGTCTCTCTTAACCCCAGTTAACTTGCATTTGGAGGAACTAAGGGGCTGAGAGTGGGGAGGGCTGGTCTGAGGAGACAAACTCCCCCATCCTTCTACCTCTCAGCGGCTTCTCCCCTTTCTCTCCCACCATGGCCTGGGGAGGCCTTCTTCCCCTCCCCTTAATGAGTGGGAACTGCCTCCTATCGGGAGCGGGGTGGGGGGGGGCATTAAGTAAATGGGAGAAAGGGTCAGAGAGAGAGAAAATTAACTTACAGCGTTCGCCTGGGATTCATTTGCGAAGATGTAACCTCTCTCACCATCATCCCCAGCGCCGTAATCCCCTCTAACTGCCAGGCCCTCTGTCCTAGCATTAAACCTCACCAGCAGCTGCGTGGCTGGACAGTTAAGATTATATATGATGTAAATATATTGTGGGTTTGTCAGCTCTCCCTACACCATAAAACTTGGTTTAATGACATCACGTGGTCCCCCAAGAGCCACTCACGGGCTTGCCTTCAGGCCATTCACATAAATAACCTCCAAAAGTTTCAAACTCCTAAATTCACATAGAAGCCGTGCGTATTTCTCTAATGCTCAGTTACACTAAAAAGCCCTTTTGCTGCTCCTTTGCCCCACCCCCACACCCCCCTTCCAGGGTGGGGAGGGGGGAGGGGTGGATCCTTAGTTATTTATTTATTTACTTACTTATTTCCATAAGGACCTGTCGCCTTCAAGGTCGTGTTGATGTTTTTCTTCCTCCTATTTTTTTTTTCCTCCTCTATCCTCTAATTGCTCAGAGTGGGCCGTGTACCCCTCTTCCCACTCCCCTGGGAAGGTAAGTCATGTTTCTTCCCCTTCTTTCTCCCTGCCAGAGGGGGTGGGTTCCAGGGTAGAGTGGAGAAGCAGGCTCCGTGGTCTCTAGTCAGATCCAGAAGCCCCTCCACTAACTACCCCAGAGCAATGCCAAACCCTGGTACTTGAAGATTGTTCTAGGAGGCTGGCTGGTGGGGGAACCTCCCTAGACTCCAACGCAGAGGCCTCTGCTCAAGGTGAAAGCAGGGTTCTGGGCCGCACCCACTCCCAGTGCAGGGGAGTAGATTTGTGGCCTCTGTCTAGGTTATGGTCGCTGATGCCGCTGAAGCAGAGGCTGGGGCCTGAGCGCAGGCCTGCAGACTGTGACAGAGGGCGGAAAACTGGCTGGCACGGCGCTGTCTACCCAAGTCCTCCAGCTCCTCCAGAGAAAGAGGCCCAGATCCTGTGGGGAGAAGGCATTTGTACACCCTGCTCAGCGGGTCTGTCACACTGCCTCCACCCCTGGTTTTCCCCCTGGGGTGGTGCATCCCTCCCCCACCATGCCGCCAACGGGGAGGAAACTCACAGCCTCGCCCCTGGCAGTCAGGGAGGCTGGGGTGGATGCTGGTGGGTGCCACGGCCTCTTTCTTAGTTAACTGTTACCCACTGGAGACGCCAGTGCTTCTCCATGCTTCACTGCTCGCCCAATAGTTTTACTCAGCATGGAGAAAAAATTAAAATAACTCCCTGAAGAAAATCACACATTTTATTTGAGAGGAAGGGGGCTTGAAAGAGATGAGTTGGTGCTAGGCTGGGTTGAGTGCTGTGAGCTAGTGGAAGAGAGATGTTAGGGTGCCCTAACCTGGTCTGAGTGCTCTGAGAAGACGAAGGGTGTAGCCAGGGGTGCAAGAAACTTGTGTAAGACCCCCTATGTGTTAGGCATGGAGTGAGGCAAGGCTCTTGGATCTTTCAAAAAAAAAAAAAGACAGACTGGCAGCTTAGGCAGTAGGATGCAGAGAAGTCCGTCCTTATAATAAATCCAAGGAGCATCAGCATTAATAATCATAAATATTCCCCTTCCCCCTCCCCAGATCCTCTCTGCTCCCTCTCCCTCTTGGCTGCTGGAACAGCCTCCCAGCCCACCTCCCGAACTGGCCCCCGCCCCCCAGTGTGGGGGGTCTAGGCTTGGCTCCAGGAAATTACCCCGTCGTGGGAGGCAGGAGAGGAAATGCAGTAAAGTTTTATGGACCCTTCCCACATTTGTTTCTCCTGTAAAGTACTTCTTTCCTTCATCCCATCCCAGGAGCCTAGGGCAGAGCAGTTCTGGGCCTAGGCCAGCCTCAGGCACCACCTGAATTATCTACGTTTCCCCCCTTCTCTTTAGCTCCCCCTCCCCCTCCACACAAAATCTCTGAGACTGAGATAAATGATGGCGGGCCAACAGACGCGACTCAGGCACTGGTCTACGCAGCTCCTTTCCCAGCTAATTGTCTGCATAGCCCTAGGCTCTAGGAGGTGGGGAAGACAATCTGAACATTTCCGGCCAGGCAAGTACAAACTGCAGGTTGCCCCACCGCTTCCCCTCACCCACCCAAAGCTCACACACTTCCTCCTTCAGTGCCCCTCTACCAAGCAGTACCAACTCTCTCTGAGCATCGTTTGGGGGACCAAATAGGCCCCTAGACTGAGAGCTCAACCCTTCCTCTATGTCCAGTGAGGCCCCTCAGGGACCACCTAGCCTTGAGAGAGCTCTTCACAGGCTCAGGAGGGCCTGAGTCTGAGCGCCTCGCAGCCATGGATGCCTGCTCCCTGAAGATTAGCTCTGGCATGCAATGCGTGCAGCTGCCAGTCTAGAGGCCTCAGATTCACCCAGTCAAGGTGGGAGTGGGTACGGAGGCCTGAATGCTTGGGACAACCACAGCATAGGAAAAGGCAGCAGAGACAGTCTGGGTGCCCTCCCCTTCCCCAAGAGGTTCTTCTTGGAGCCAGGGTTAGGAAAGGAGCTCCGTTTCACCTGCCTCTACTCAATGCTCCTAGCCTCTCCTAAAATTCTTTTGAAGGAGCCGCTTGAAGGCTGTGGGCCTCCCCCAACACCCCGCAGCCCATTTAGACACTTTCCCCAATACATGCCCCCCAAACAGAGAGGAGCCGCTGTATTTTTCGTCCTGTTCTCTCTTTGTCTTTATTTGATATGACAAAATATAGTTTCAGGAAAGATGTGGAGTTAATAAATAGTTGGACAATAGCGATGGGCAGAAGGACACTGAAAGTCGTGGCAAGGACTACTGGGCAGCCAGAAGCCTCTAGGACCTTTGTGGGGTCTAGTAGCAGGGAACCCCAATAGTTGAGCTAGCTAGCGGTCTGAGGCCGGGGGCCTGAGAGGGCATGCAGAGAGCGCAGGCTGGACAGGTTTCCGGGTTTGGGGGTTGGGGGGGTGCAGGTTTAGAGAGCTTAGGGCAACCGAGGGGGCCCTAGGCAGACAGTCATCTCCCCCTCTCATATGCAGATCATTTAAAAAATGAGCATCGAGTTGAGTGGCTACAAAGAAGCACCCCGAGATGGTGCCATGGTTTGCCAAATACAACCATGCTCTCACCAAGCCGGCAGCCTGCCTGGCCCGCCTAAGCCGGAACAAAGGAGAGGGCGAGGCCGCAGGGTCCGGGCGTGGGGCCTGCCGCGCCGGCAGGGCCCACCTGAACCCCGGCGGCCTTCGCTGGGGCAGGAATTCTGAGATGCGGCCCAAGTCAGTTTCGCTCAGCACCAACTCCTGTGCCACAGCCGTCTGGGGGTCCCCTGCTGAACTTGCCCCGGACCTCGGTGCTGAGCAGAACGGAAGGGAGTCCGGTCGGCGCGGGTAGCCCCGCGGGGAACCTGGGGTCGGTGGGGATGCGCAATGCCATGGGAAAGAGCTTTTGTCTGGGGTGGGGAACCGGCGCTCCAGCCCCCTTTCTGGCCCCCAAGACATCTACAGAGGAAAAACCGACAGGGAAAGGCGCGGGACCGAAGCGGGCTCGGGGTGCTCTCGGCGGGCCTCCCCGGTGCCTCTAGAGAGCCTCTTTGCTTTTCATTTTGGAATCTTTCTTCCACTTCATCCTGCGGTTCTGGAACCAGATCTTGATCTGTCTCTCGTTGAGACACAAGTTGTTGGCGATCTCTATGCGCCTGCGGCGAGTGAGGTAGCGATTAAAGTGGAATTCTTTTTCTAGTTCCAGAGTCTGGTAGCGCGTGTAACTGGTTCGGGACCGCTTGCCGTCCGTCTCTGGAATATAAACCCCCCCAAGCCAGGAAGGGGTGAATAGCGTGCAGCACCCCAGCGTCCCCATCCCAGCCCCAGGCCCCCACCCGCGGCCAGAGGGAGAAGACGCGAGCGGGGCCGGACAGGCCCGGCGGGCCGCAGGCGGGCCCGGCCCAGCCCAGCCTGGCCCCGGGAGAGGAGCCTCCGCCCAGGCAGGAAACTTTCCGCCGCAGCCTTCACTCAGCAGCCGGAGGGGCTGGGGGTGGGGGGGAGAGGGAGACCCAGGCTCGGACCGAACAATAAGCACCCTCGAGATCCGAGCACCGGGGACCCCCCTCCCGCCCCTCCCGAGTCGCTGGAATCCTCCGGAGCCTCAAGCGGCGGCCGAGCCGACTCCGCAGGGGAGGGAGGAGGGACCGCGGGGGGATCCCCGCTCTGGAGCCCCGCGCTCCTCACCCTTCAGATCCCTCTATTTTTTTAACTCCCTCCCTCTCCCCCAAAAATTGAATATTGCCTTTTATACACGTTTTGTTCCTATGATCCAATTATGTCGTCGTAAATTTGGGCGCACACAGCCTCTAAGCCTTTTAGTGGACAGTTTTACGAGCCATTGATGCCTGGATCGTAAAATTTATGGCCGCAGGTTTTTTTTCTTTATTTGCCCCGCATGGCCTATAAAACCCAGGCGGACCCGAGCGCGCAAAATGAAGTCCTAAAGTTTACCGTGGCTCATGTGCAGTTTGGTCATCCACGGGTAAATCTGTGGCGCGGCCGGTGGCTGGCTCAGTCCGGCAGGCTGCCCTGTCTGCGCCTGCTCCTCTTTGATCTCCCCACTGCTCTTAGCTCGCTCCTCCAGCGCTGGGCGAGCCGCCTTCTGACTGTACATCCCGGGGTTCAGAGGAGCCGCTTCATCTCTGCCCAGAGCGTGTCCCGGAGCGGCTGCGGCGCTGCAGGCGGGGCGGTCGGGGTGAGCCCGGGGGTTGGCAGCCATGTCTACCCCGTGGAGAGAGTTGGAAGGCGCAGGCGGTGGGAAAGTGATGCTTAAGTCCAATCCGCCGTAGCAATACCTGGATGCCTGCACCTCTGAGGCCGATCCATAGTTCCCACAAGTTTGCATGTTATAGGCAGGGATATTGGGGCTCTGCTTATAGAATGAATTGGCTACGTAGGAGCTCATGGCGGGGAGGGCCCAAAAAAAATTTCTGCACCCTTTTTGATTAAGGGTGATTTGTGACTCTTTGAAGTTGAGGGGTTTTTTGTTCTCCAAAGTGCACAATTTATAGGTGGAGATATCTCTTTCTTTATCCTATGCGCTCTTCCCAAATAAGGGAGCCTTAAATAGAGTCACGTGACTCAAGCGGCCACTCATAAATTTGGCTTGATGACCTCCGGGAGGTTAGTGATGGAAGCCGGCGAAACGCATCTTGATATGTTGGCAAAGCCCAACCAAGGGGGAGAGGGAGTGAGAGAGAGAAAAAGAGAAGGGGGAGAAAAAAAAATGGTTCTTGGAATTGGGGGGTAGCCGGGACAACAAGCCCACAGCGACACCTGGTGCTTACTTGGAGGAATTGCATCCTGGCTCGCTGGCTGGCCTTCAGGCCTCTCTGGATTTTCTACCCTGTAGAGGAGAAGCTGGGTGTTCATGCAATAAACTCCTGAAATGGCCTTTTAAATTGTATTTAATTTTAACGGGAGATAATGCTTCATCAGGATGCGCAGAGCGTTTTTTGGTAATGGATAGTCCCATCCTCCACAACCCCAGGGAGTTTCAATGTTCAAAAATGGCTGAGAAGGGGATTGAGGTAGGAGAGCCCCAACCCAGGTTGGAGGTGCCTTATCTCAGGTTCTCTAAATCAAAGGTCCAGGTGCCTTTCCTTTGAGGCCCCGGAGCCCTGATACCACTGAGGAGGTGCCTATCAGACTGAGAAAGTGAAGCCAGCCTCTGAAGAGGTAGACAGGATGCCCATGAGGAGTGGTCCTGGGTGGACAGAGCTAGACAGAAGGCTCTTGGGATTAAGATTGCTGGGGACTTTGGGGTGAGCCTGGAGGTAAGGAAACAGGGGAAGATAGGTAGTCTTCCTCATCATGCCAGGGACTCCAGAGTGACATCAAGGCAATTTTCAATTGTGTGTGTGGGTGGGTGAGTGGCTAGCTGCATAGGTAAAGAATCAGACACAATGAACTGGAGGACTGCTCTGCATCCCTGTGTATGACCCTCGTGTGGTACCCATGCCAAGTATTTTGGATGGAAAATATATGTTCATTGAGGGCATGGAGAAGCAAAATCCAAGCTTCCACAAATATTATACGAGCAGGGCAAAGGAAGAGGCCTGTTTTGTGCCCTTTGGGGAAAAGGCCTCTGAACTAGGCTTTCCAGGGACCTGGGTTCAGAAGGTCCAAGGGAAAGCAATTTCTGAGCTATCTGGAGGTCTCCCAAAGGACCTGGCTGGGGCAGGGGGGTGGGGGTGGGCAGGGCAGGCGCCTGGGCTACCTTCACAGCCTGACACCAGGGCCTCGGCAGCCATTCGGCCCCTTTCCGAGCCCCCTCCCCTAGCCCCAAGTCTTATTCTTTCCTGCCTGCCTCTCCCCAGGAAATCTCCGCCCCTGCCAGGAGAAGCCCCCCCTTCGGCCCCCCCGCTGGTGGAGGCGCTGGAGGGGGCGCTGGCGGGGATCTGGAAGGTCTGGAAAACTCTGGCGGATTTTTTTCCCTCCGGGAGACCCCCTCAATACCTCACCCCCAACATCCACTCAGGTTTCTCTGGCTGGGCTTTGGAAAGACGGCCTGAACTGGGGAAAGGCTAGGGTCTGGCTGCGCTCCTCACTGGCCTAGTTTGAGGGGAGAAGAAACAGTAAGGAAAAGACTGGGGCTGGAGAAGTAAGAAGGAATTTGGTCCCGGCCACGTCAGGAGTCCCAGAGCAGGCGAGAGCTCAGTTTCCAGGCTTTCTTTTCCGAGATGTCCTTGAATCGCTCAGACCCTGCCGAAGGACTCAGATCCCGGCTGTCTTCTTTTTCCCCTCGGCTCTCCGCCTCCGCCACGTTTCGCAAGAATCCTGGCGCGGGCCGGGGGCTGCCTTGCTGGCTCCGGCGCCTCCCTCCCTACTCCGGGGAGTGGGCGGGGGCGACTGGGGCCTGGATGATGCGGCCTTTCTGGGCTTTGGGGGTCCGGGGTTCAGAAGCCGAGGACCCCAAACTACCAAAGGCAGGAAGAAAGGCCTGTGTGGGGCCGGAGACCAATGCGGCCAACCCGGGGTCCCACTCTACCCCCAACCAAACCCATGCGGCCTTTTTTTTTTTTTTTTTTTGCGGTTTGAGTGCGTTGCTCTGCGTGGGGAGCCCGGAGAGGCCTCCCAGCCCCCAGTGCGATCCCCGGGAGAACCGCAAGGCCGGGATCGGCGCTGGGCCGGGCCAGGCGCGTGCAGGGGGCCGGGGGCTCGCAGGCGGCGGGCAGACGCGGGAGCGCTCAGAGCCTGCTCCAACTTTCAGCCTGAGGCCGGCGGGCGAGCGAAGTAACAGAAATCCCGATATAAACTTTTAAAAATAATATCAGTTTTATTAAATATTCGAGAACGGATCCAGAGGTCGGATTTATACAGGAGGGTAACACGAGGGAATTTTTTTAATTTATTTTTTTTTCTCCTACTGGCTAAACAAACGTCGTTCACTTTCTTTTTGTAATTTTCCCTCTTTTTTTTCCCCCCTTTTAAAGATGGGATTGGAACACGGACGGTGCTAAACATAAATATAAATACAGAGACCACAAATACAGCTAAAAATATTCACACAGAAACGGTCACAGTTTGTAATATGCCATAATGACCCCCAGGATTCTTTAAATACAATTCGCCTGGGCTGGGCATTTGCTGGGGCAGAGGGGCCGGGCGGGGGCTGCGGGGAGGCCCTGGGGGCTGCTGTGGGGCCCCCGACGCGCCCTCCTCGGGCCTCCCGCCCTCCCCGGCTGCCAGGCCGGGCCCTGAGGCCCGGGAGCAGAGGCCCCCGGGGCCCGGGAGCCGGCTCTCTGCGCGGGGGCGGGGATGGGGGGGCGCCGAGAGGGTGGGAGGCCAAGTCCTCGTTTGGAGGGAGATCTGTGGAGTCTAAAGCGAGGTTCAGGGACGAGCCCCAAGGCCTGGGCGGGGGAAGGGGCCTGCAGACGAGCCGAGAACGAGCTAGCGAGGGAGCGAGTCGGAGGAGGCGCCTGGTGAAAAGAGTTTGTGCGGTGAGGGAGGGGGGCGTCCAGAGTTGACTTTTCAGGTCCATATTTGACTCCCTAATTTTGTCTCAGGGGGTCCAAACACATCAATTGTGCCAGTGATAAATATAGAGTGTGTGATTAGGAGGGTATTGGGGGGAGCGAGGGAGCAGGAGAAAGGGGTGGCAGGGACAGTCCTGGTCACTCTTTCTGCTTCTCCTCTTCTGTCTCTTCCCGCTTTTCCTCTTTTCCGCCCAGGCTGTCGGCCGCGGCCCCTCCGCCGCCCCCTGAGAGCGTGGACGTGAGATTAGACTCTTTTTTCCACTTCATCCGGCGGTTCTGGAACCAGATTTTGATCTGTCGCTCGGTCAGGCAGAGCGCGTTGGCGATCTCGATGCGCCGGCGCCGCGTTAGGTAGCGGTTGAAGTGAAATTCCTTCTCCAGTTCCAGCGTCTGGTACCTCGAGTAGATCTGGCGACCGCGCCTCCGGTCCGCTCCATAGCCGACCCCTAGAGATCCGGGCACAAAATACGCTACAAACAATCAGCAAGGCATCCTCTGCAGATGATCTAGCCTAGCACAGCCCTGACCATCCCAACTTGGCCAGCACTCACGGGCCCCCTCCGGCTCCAGCCTTCTCCCCTCTGCTATCCCCACCCCCACTGGGGGTACAGCCAGGATCCTAACCTCATTCAGTACCCCCCCCTCCCGGTTGGTAGGTGTGTCCCAAAGAAAGGTGTGTGGGGGGTGGGGGGACAGAACCAAGCAGGAAGCTGTAACCTAAAAGCTGATTTTTAAGAAAAATCTCAAAACACTGGGGATGAGGCCCCATTTCTCAAGGTCTGGGCTCCCCCATCTCCCCAAGCGCCCTAGCTCCTGGGAAACTTCTCCCCACTTCTCTGTCCCATTCTCTCCCCCTCCCTTCTCCTCAGTCTGACTCGACTTTGGGGGGCTCCCCCACCCCCTCCCCTCATCCCCTGCCCTGTTCCTGCCCCCTCAACTCGCCTTGGAGCCCTCCAATCCGTCAGGGGCCGAGGGGGCCAGGCCCCTGCAAGCAAGCAGGAGGCGAGCAGAGGGGGCAGAAGAGGGGGCCCTGTCTCGGCGTCGGCGAGGAGACGAGCGTGATTGTTTTTATGGGGCCATAAAAAACTCTCTCCGCCCGTTCTTCTAGGGAAGCCGGTCATAAAGCCAGTTCAGTTTATTTAATTTATATCTCGGAGCTGTAAAACTCACCACTGTGCGAATTCATTCGCTGCATCCAGGGGTAAATCTGGATACTGGCTTTCTGGTCCTGGGGCGCAGTCCTGCCCTGCTCAGAACTAAAATCCTGAGCGATTGAGGTCTGTGTGTTATGTCCTAAGGTGTTTTGTCTGCAGTTTGAGAGCATGTCTTTCTCCTGGTAAAAGGAATTAGATCCATAGTCATACGGCCCTCGGCTGGAACTGAACACGACATTCTCCTGTGGCGAATAAAAGGGAGTCGAGTAGATCCGGTTCTGAGCCACGGCCGCTCCATAGGTCGAGAAATGCCTCACTGGATCATAGGCGGTGGAATTGAGGGCGACGTTGGGGAGGACGTCCTGGCCCCCGGCGAGGTGGCAGGATAAGGAAGGGTTAGTGAAGTAGGAATTCATCCCTTTGCCTTTACCTGGTCGGGCTATGATTTCTTTAATATTTATTTCTGTCTCCAGTTTGTACTCGGAACTAGATGGTTATAGGGACGGCTCCAATCCAGGACAGACAAAATGACAAAGTCAGCTGACCCCCTCCTAGCCAATCGCAAGCCAGATGTCAAGAAGGGGGAAAAAAATCGCTTCTGCTTCTGTTGATTCCCTAGTTGAGACTAAGTGTGTGCTTTGAAAGTAAGACTTGGATTTCTTTTAAAAATATATATGTAAGGGAACTGATTTGAAGGTGAAGGAAGGGTGAATGTCCGAGAGCAGGGCCTTGGGGCCGAGAAAAGGAGAGTTGCACTCCCAGAAAATCTCTCAGCTCCAGCTAACTTTGCTGTACTGTGGCCACAGGAGAAATCTCTATTTTCAATCTGATTTCATCTTTTATATCTGCCCTCTTCTAAAATTACACTTTGATTTCTCCATAGGAGGAAAGCCTTCCAAGTTCAGGGGGTTCCCCAGAAATCTTACAGGAAATCCTGGTTTGATACTCCAAGGAGAGAGTTCCCATCTTTAAACCAGTCTATTTTTACCCAAATAATTTTTTTAAAAAATCAAAAATGGAAAGAAATTGCAAAAGACACGGTGCTTAGAGGAAGGAGAGTGTGTCTGAGAGTTGGCGGTGGCGGGGGGGGGCCATGTGGGGAGCCCCTAAATCTAAAGAGGGAAGGCTGAGACTTCAGGGTGCAGTGGCAGAGCTGAGGTGTGCAAAGGAGCCATGCATCTGCTTCCTCTTCCTCCTAGCCCCCCTCTACCACCTCCTCCTCCTCAGGAACCCCTTTTTGGGGAAACTCTTGCAGCATTTTTGCCTAAAAGGGAAAATTTATTTTAAAATATCATAGGAAAGGAAGAGAAAGAAGTAAAAGGTGGGAGAGAGAGAGAAAAAGGAAGAAGAAAGAACTCTGAGAGTCTTTCTAGACACATCAACTCCTGTTTATGTTGGTGAGAATTTATGATTTGGAGCCAGCCAGGGCCGTTGGGGTAATTCACATAGCATCCAGCCAAAGAGAGAAGGCTGGTGGGGCTCTGATGGACACAGAGACACAGAGCGTCTTGCAGCCTTAAGCCCCTGCCCAGGGCAGAAGCCCCTGCCCTCCTCGGACACTGTCCTGCCAAGGGAAGTGCCCCTGGACCTGAGCTCTGGGGCTTGGAGATTCCAGCCAAGGTTTCCTTGGGGCGCTCTCTCCCAAGGGCCAGCCACACCTGGTGGGGCCAGGCCTCTCAGCAGCTCCCTACCCCCATTTTCTTCCCACCTGGGGGCTGAGAAAAAGGAAGAGAAGGTTAGGAAAAGGCAGCTGAGTCCGAGGCTTCTGAGGAGCCGCAGTGGGCGAACGGAAACAGCGGAAGGTGTGCAGATGGGCTTTTTCCTCCTGATTAATCCAAACTTCTTTTGATATTGTAACATAGGCCGAAAATGCTCTGAGTTGACAAAGAGGGGGGTGGTGGGGCAAGCGAAGGGAGCAGAGGAAGCTCATATTTTCCCCTCACCATTTTGGGGAGGGGGAGAACTGGCTATAACAAGAACCCGGATGTCGCCGGATTTTATGATCTTTTCCTTCTGTGTAACAAAGCGGAGTAATCAATGGGTAGCAATAAAGCCATAAACGGGACTACACTGGGAAAAAAACTCGTTTATTCATCTTCTGTAACGTTAAGGTTTCCCTGGAGTGTCGCTAGGGGGGAAAAATAAAGTTTCGAACCCAAAAGCAGACAGTGTGTAGGAGCTGATGGAGACAACATGTTAGTTAATACATGAACCTCGTTACGGGATGGAAGAGTCTTCCTGCGAGACAATTTGTGTTGGCTTTTAAAAATACAGCCCCGTCCATCAGAGAGGAGAGAAACGAAGGGCAGGGGGAAGGCCCCTATAATTATAAAGGCTCCCTCTCTTGGACCATACTTTCCTCTCCCCAAGGAAATGAAGGTGATGTGTAGAGGAGGATTCTTAAATTAAGAAAGAAATTTTGAGATGAGTTGCCTCATTTTGGGGTGTCATGGCAGGTACACAAACAGACACCAGCAAGAGCTGCTTTTCGCTCTAGAATCCAGCTGTCCTCGAATTCATGGCATGCCTGGGCAGGGGTTTCCAACAGCTGGCTGGGGCTCCAGGCCCCCTGGAGGGCAAGAGGGAGAGGGAAAGAGAAGTGGGGAGGGGGTGGAAGGCCGAGGGGGATGAACTAAGGAACAAGTCAGTGCCCCCCTGGACACCAGTAGCCGCTCTCAGAGTTCTCAGTCTCAATTCTGCCCTAAGGATAGCAGTGTAACACGTAGAACAGGCCGGAAGAGAGAGTAAATTCCCTCCCCGCCCCCCCTTCAGAGAGAGATTGCTAGAGGGATAAATCATGTCAGTGATATTTCCTTCAAGATATTAAATTGTTGCAATGTACAACAAATTGAATGATGGAAGATAGGATGTCTTAATGAGGTTTCGCTTTCAATGAGTGTTGATTTTCTATGTATTTTAAAATCTCTTTTATGGGTGGGTGGGTGGGTGGGTGGGTGGGGGAAGGAAGGACCTTGGAAGAAAGAAGAGGCTTCTGGGGAAGCATGTGCTGCAGCTCCCCAGCAAGGATGCCTGGGTTTGTTTCCTTGAGCCCCTTCTAGACCAAGTGTGGAGAGGAAAAGGGTGCCCAAGTTAGGGAGAGTCCCCTTTGGGGCCTAAAGGCAGTGGGCGCGGGGGTGGGCGCCCTGAGGAGCAGAATGTAAGTCTCAGCCCCGGAAAGTTAAGTGTTTTATTACGTCCCTAAACAGAGGGCAGAGACTGAAAGGTCTCGCCAATTTATAATGAACAGGAACCAGCTGCTGGGGGGGAAAGGCAGAAATGCTGGAAGAGGGGAGAAGGGGAAGCAGAAATACAAATAAATTCTGCCACTGCTTAAAGACTTTCAGCAAAATTAGTTTCTAACACACTTTTCCCCCATCACCTTTCGTTCCTCAGGAAAGAAGCCTTCTTCCTTCAGTTAGATCTTTAATTATGCAGCTGAAATTTGCTGGAAGGATTCGCTCCAAGGGGGGAGAGCAAGTCAGATGAGCCGAATCTTCCCTCCATTGGATTATATTTTCCTTTTCTCATTTCATGTTAATTTTATTTTTTTGGCAAAAGAATGACTGTCTATGGTGGGAAAGCTGGGACTTGGGTTTTTCTAAATATATTTATATTTTCCTGTTAAATTTGTCTGAAAACAATTATGGAAACTCATCAGCAGAAGCAAGAACAGATGTTTTATTAAAACTGCAGTTGAGCTCTTGTAAATATGCACAAGTCCTGGGAAGGAGGCGGGAGAACTAGTTCTTTGTTTCTATAAAACAAGCCTAGAGAAATCAGAGAACACCCCCTCATCAGGCCCGTAGGTCTCCGACTTGCTCTGCCCCTTCGGCCTCTGGAGGGGGGTTGGCGGCAAGAACGGATTTTCACTTTCGGAGCTGGAATCAGTGGATCAAAAACAGAATTCAAAAAATACAGAAAAGGAATAAAGGGGGAAAGTTGCCGCTCCCTGTCCCAGCAACCAAAACACATGCTTTTCATGAACACTAATTATAGGAGAGAACTCATTGTAGGCACCCTGAGCCTAAACAGGGGGCAGTCATTGGTCGGGAGTCCCCAAGGGTTGCATTCGAGGCTGGACACTGGAGGGTTTCCCAGGGCAAGTGTTAAGGCTCCTATTCCAGCCTTATCCTGCTCCAGACTGGGGGTTGGGGGCCTGTGTAGCTCTGAATTGGGGAGAGGGTGACTGGGACTGGCCTCTGGCCCTGGAGGGGTTCATGGGTGGGCCTCACCTTGCCTGCCTTTGCTTTCCACTCTGCTCTGGGAAATGTATTAATTTCTTGGGGAAGGGTATGTGAGGTGAGAGGCATGAGATCTGGAATTTTTTGGGGGGGCCAGTCTTCTCCAGAGGTCCTGCTTAATTTGTGTTCTGCCAGTCCTCTCTCTCTCCCCAGATCCCCCAACTCTGCCCCGCTGTCTGTGACTCACCCAGCCTCACACACAGAAACATACACACTCCATTCCTAGCTGCCGGCGCCACCAACTGCAGCCCGGCGCCTCCGAGGGCTGCTCAGGGACGCGGGCACTGGAGCCGCAGGACTCAGCACTCGGCCTGAGCGCCTGGCTGCCTGGAAGCCCCTAGAGCTGCCCGGCCCACCCCCTGGATCCTTGACTTCCAGGGTGGGAGAGGAGCGGTTGCCCCACTGGCCCCTTTTGTGCCACTGGGCGAGGGCTGAAATCCCTCTTGCAGAGAAAGCTGAGTTTCAATAATTGTTCAGCTCACCTCACAATAGCACTGTTTGGTTAAGGCTTTGCTGTTCTAGAATGACTGCTCAGTTGGCCCGACTGGCTTATGATAGGATTTTTTTTATTTAAAAATTAAAAAAATAAATCCTACTCCAAACGCCTAGTGTTTTGTGTAAGAGATCCTTTGATCTCCACAGAATGCAGAGTAAAAGGCTTGCAAAGAGAGTTTCCTAGTCCGTCAGAGAACCTGAACGCAAGGAAATGGGTCTGCTTGGGGACACCCCAGCATAGCTGACCCAAGGAGCCCCCAACTTCTCAAAGATCCAGTGGGGAAACTGTCTGAGCTCATACCTCTCCATACACACGTTGCACTGCAAAAAAGAATGCTCTTTCTCCTTTCAAAGTTGAGGCATGGAGACACTTGGAGAAAAGTGAAATTTGACACACCCAGCCCGGAAATGGATCCCATTTGGGGGTGCTGATATTCTGGGGACAGGGCCCAGGCTGGCCAGCTGAATGGAGCTGGGGGGCAGCAGGGAGGCGGGATGGAAGAAAAGGCCAGATGGGGCATGTCAAGCTCCTGAGAACTGCCCCAAACACCTCAGAGGCCTGCGCTTTTGAGCTGAGAGGTTGAGAGGCTGCCCAAGCTGCTTTTGCTTTATTTGCAATTAAACAGAGAAGAAAGGTACCTGGAGGGGCTTGGCTAACTCACATCATATTTTCTCTTCTC